TGAGAGAAAGAAAGAGTGATACTGAGTTCAGGTGGAGGAGGGAAGAGTGCGACAGATGCCCAGCAAGTCTACCATCACTTAAAACTTATCAATGCGCAAGGCGCCGTTCCTGCTGTGGAGCACATGGTGAACATAATCGTTATCAACAGAAGCCAGTACCCCGGAAGATGAACCACCTGATCCCTCTAGCACCAGCTACCTGAAGCGCGGATTTAATTTTGGCCATGCAGCGGTTTTGACACGTTCGTATTATGAATTTTACCCGCTTTACTACTACCTTCCAAATTGTAAGGTTAATGTACATTCGGATTTCACAGAACGACTGTCGGTCTTATTATTTGACGCTCATGCAGACTTTAAGTACATTCGCATCCCGATCATACTTTTTAGAAAGGTTAAACAAGACGCCTTTACTTTGAGCAATCGAGACCTTTTAGGATAGAGTTTTTTTGCAGCGAAGGCCCTCTGTTTAATGGCTTTGCGGTTAAACCAAATACGTTCAGTCAAGTTTATTCGTGAATTCTGAAAAAAAAACTCCAGGAATTTGGAAATAATAATGCTAAAAACAGCATTCCTTTCCTGTTTCTGGAATACCCCGCATTTCCTCACACCTGATTTCACCTAACTCAAGGTCAAAATTCGAGTTTCAGAGGGATTTATTTGATACTGTTCTCTCTTATATTGGTGTTCTTTAGAGCATAACGCAAGAGGTTATGTCCTACCACATTAACAGCCTCCGATTTTACCAAAATCCTGCCTGTTTTCCTTCATTTTACATGACTAAACATACGGTTTTCTTTACTTAAAATCCCCCCGAGCACTTAATCTACTCAGCAGATGAAAAAAACAACATTAAGTGTATGCTCCAATATTTCTGATGATGGAGACAGTAACGGGGGTTTAGCGCGATTGCCCAGCCCCGACTTTCGACACTTAATCGAAAAAGAACGCCTACTCATTATAATTACGTAGTACCACATAGTACAAGTGAAAAAAGGAAGCAGTTAAGAACAGATAGACACGATCGTTGGCGCAAGACCTCCATTCGCCAGCCGCTTCAGACACAGGGTCGAACCAATTCACGACCTCTAAAACCAGCAACCTCCTGCGCATCAACTACACCGGCCGAATGCGGGGTTCGAGAACGAATTCACAAGTTCCGACAAGCAAGTAGCCTGTTTCAGCCATCGCATCCATTTCCACGGCAACAGGGCTGAGAACATTACATTCATCGGGGGAATGGGCCTCCAGGGAGTCGGCGGAAAGTGACGCTCAATTATTTTCTCTTAGTTGCCAGCACAACGGGTTCAGCCAGCCTGGTCGTGGGGTATCCATCGGCGAATGAGGACCAGGCACAGAGTTTGGGCTATGCTTAAAGAATGGACCTCCGACATTCACTCAAAGAAAAGTTGAAATCGGTGAACGTCACAGTCACTAGACCCAATTACTTCCGATCCGATCCTAGCCCACAGAGTCTGACCACTCTTGGCTCAAATGCAGGCAGATTGACCTTGAAGACGACCTAAGCCCTCATTTAAACCATGGATCGTTGCATGCATGAGTGGCAATGGGCAGCACATAACCAAGAAACGACCCCTCTCTCCTTCTAACTATCTAAAGCAATTCATCACGAGGACAGGGATTGGTCACGTCGGTTTTTTTCCACAGAATCCATACCGGACCATTTAACTATAACGAACGGCCGTAGACGACACAGACACAGAGGCCCCGTTCATGCAGCAGTCCAGGCTGCATCGAAAACAAAAGAACGCACTATAAAAA